TTTTGCATTTACTGAGTTTCATTGTGATTGATGGATCTATAAACAATGATAATTGCATTATAAAGACTTGAGTTCACTAATGCTTTGACTATTGTCTCTGAGGTGTGAACTTAGTGGTAGGATTGCTGACTTTGTGTCGTTGTGTAGCAGCTTATAATTTTATCTTCATTTGCCATCGAATGAGACACTCTGGTTCGGTCTCTATACACTCGAGTTCAAGCACGGTGTAGTGAAATATTCATATTGTTTTGCCCACTTAATGATGCTTTGAAAAGTGTCAATGCTTTGTGGGGAAATATGACAATGTCATATCAAGCGTAGAAACTCATGATATTAAGCATCTGTTTGTTATGTATTATTTTTAATATACATTTTTCTCTTTTTTATTTTCAATCACGTATTTTCAACAAATAAATATTATATGTAAATTCAAAACTTTTTTCTCAAATTTTTAACCATGCATTGGAACAAAAAAGGGGCTCAAAGTGATTAACATATATCTTTTGTGTTAATTTAAATCGAAGTTTAAAATTTTACCTGTCAAACTTTTGTTTTGAACTCCACATTTCTTGAGACTGCTCCAAGTCTCAAGCGTAGTGGTATGGTTCAAGTTTTTCCTTTTTTTTTCTTTTTTGGTAAAAGAGTAATTTAGTCTTGATACAAGCCACGTTTTATTATTATTCAAATAAACAATAATAAAAAAATTTAATAAGTGCTATATATTTCCATTATTTTTACAATACATTTTTTGCTCTTATTTTCAATTGTACGTTATTCAATAAAATAATATTACACGTAAATTCAAAACCTTTTTTCTAATTTTTTAATCACGTATTCTCCATCAAAATACATTTTAGACAAGGGCTCTACATGAACCTTGAAAATGTTGTTTTGATGCCATAGCAAGAGAGTTTACACCCTTTTTACTCCACCTGCGTTGCTTTTCTAAATGTTCACTCAACTATTGACATAGCATGTCATTTTCAAGAAGGGAAGAACCAATGGCTATGGGTTCCAGCAAAGTTTTACGAGGCAACATATGATGTCCAATATTGCCATTCATTCAATAAATTTTTTGACACATCATTAATTTAATAGGTTAGCAGTGAAATTAATGAGGGTAAATCTAAAATAACATAAAATTAATTGGACAGACAACGGATCTTGATTCAAGTTTTACGTCCAAGCATTATTTATTTTGGCTCATTTTTTGCATTTACTGAGTTTCATTGTGATTGATGGATCTATAAACAATGATAATTGCATTATAAAGACTTGAGTTCACTAATGCTTTGACTATTGTCTCTGAGGTGTGAACTTAGTGGTAGGATTGCTGACTTTGTGTCGTTGTGTAGCAGCTTATAATTTTATCTTCATTTGCCATCGAATGAGACACTCTGGTTACACTTGCCATTACATTTATTTCTGGGAATCAATTTTCTGATATGAGAAAAATTAAAGAACATATATATATATATATATATATATATATTGTGTTAATTTAAATCGAAGTTTAAAATTTTACTTGTCAGACTTTTGTTTTGGAACACCACATTTCTCGAGACTCCGCCAGGTCTCATGCATAGCGGTATAGTTCAAGTTTTTCTTTTTAATTTTTTTTCCGGTAAAAGAGTAATTTAGTCTTGATCAAGCCATTTTTTTTTTCGAATAAACAATACTAATAAAATTAATAAGCGCTATTTGTTTCCATTATTTTTAAAATACATTTTCGCTCTTATTTTCAATTGCACGTTATTCAATAAAATAATATTACACGTAAGTTTAAAACCTTTTTTTTTAATCGCATATTCTCCATCAAAATACTATTTTAAAATACATTTTAGACAAGGCAAATGAACCTTGAAATTGTTATTTCGAGGCCATAGCAAGAGAGTTTACACCCTTTTTTACTCCACCTGCATTGCATTTCTAGATGTTCACTCAACTATTGACGTAGCACGTCATTTTCAAGAAGGGAAGAAACAATGGCTACGGATTCCAACAATGTTTTACGAGGCAACATCTGCTATCCAATATTGTTATTTATTCAATTAATTCTTGACATATCATTAATTTAGTAGCTTAGTAGTGAAGTTAATGAGAGTAAATTTGATATAACATGAAATTAATTGGATAGACGGTAGATCTTGATTCAAATGTTACATCCAACCATTATTTATCTGCTCATTTTTTGCATTTACCCAGTTTTATTGCGATTGGTGGATCTATAAAAAATGACAATTGCATGATAAGGACTCGAGTTCACTAAAGATTTTGGCTATTGTCTCTAAGTCATGAACTTAGTGGTCGGATTGCTGATTTTGTGCCGTTTTGTAACAACTTATAATTTTATCTTCGTTTTACTATTGAATGAGACACTCGGGTCAGGTCTCTATACACTCGAGTTCAAGCATGGTGTGATGAAATATTCATATTGTCTTGCCCACTTAATGATGCTTTGAAAGGTGTCAATGCTTTGTGAAGAAATATGACGAATGTCATATCAAGTGTAGAAACTCATGATTTTAAGCATCTGTTTGTTCTATATTATTTTTAATATACATTTTTTTCTTTTTTATTTTCAATCACGTATTTTCAAGAAATTAATACTATACATAAATGCAAAACTTTCTCTCAATTTTTTAACCACACATTGGAACAAAAAAGGGGCTCAAAATGATTAATATATATTTTTTGTGTTAATTTAAATTGAAGTTTAAAATTTTACCTGTCAAACTTTTGTTTTGGAACACCACATTTCTTGGGACTCTGCCATATTTCATGTGTAGCGGTATGGTCAAGTTTTTCTTCTTCCTTTTTTCCCGGTAAAAGAGTAATTTAGTCTTGATACAAGCCACGTTTTATTATTGTTTGAATAGACAATAATAAAAAATTAATAAGCACTAATTTTTTATTATTTTTAAAATATATTTTGGCTCTTATTTTCAATTGCACGTTATTCAATAAAATAATATTACACATAAGTTTAAAACTTTTTAATTTTTTTTTTAATAACGTATTCTCTATCACAATACCATTCAAAATACATTTTAGACAAGGGCTCTAAATGAACCTTGAGATTGTTGTTTTGAGGCCATAGCAAAAGAGTTTACACCCTTTTTACTCAACCTGCATTATATTTCTAGATGTTCACTCAACTATTGACGTAGCACGTCATTTTCAAGAAGGGAAGAACCAATGGCTACTGGTTCCAGCAAAGTTTTACAAGACATCATCTGCTGTCTATTGTTGCTATTCATTCCATTAATTCTTAACACATCATTAATTTAGTAGATTAGTAGTAAAGTTAATGAGAGTCAATTTGAGATAATATATTAATCATTGATAACATGTCAAGAATTAATTGGATGGGCGACAAATCTTGTTTTATATCCAACCATTATTTACATGCTCATTTTTTTTTTACATTTACTTAGTTTCATTATGATTGATGGATCTGTAAACAGTGACAATTGCATTATAAAGATTCGAGTTCACTAAAGCTTTGGCTATTGTCTCTGAGTTGTGAACTCAGTGGTCAGATTGCTGACTTTATGCCGTTGTGTAACAGCCTATAATTTTATCTTCAATTTACTATCGAATGAGGCACTCGGGTCACGTCTTTATATATTGGAGTTCAAGCAAGGTGTGATGAAATATTCATATTGCTTTGTCCAGTTAATGATGCTTTGAAAGTTGTCAATGATTTGTGGAGGAATATGATAAATGTCATATCAAGTGTAGAAACTCATGATATTAAGACTTCGTTCGTTTCGCATTATTTTCAATATACATTTTCTTCTTTTTTATTTTCAATCACATATTTTCAATAAAATAATATTACGCGTAAATTGAAAACTTTCCCCAAAATTTTAACAACACATTGGGAAAAAAAGGGCTCAAAGTGATTAATATATATTTTTTGTTTTAATTTAAATTGCAGTTTAAAATTTTACCTATCAAACTTTTGTGTGGGAACACCACATTTCTTGAGACTCCTCCAGGTCTCATGAGTAGCGGATATGGTTCAAGTTTTATTTTATTTTATTATTTATTTATTTATTAATTTTTTTGGTGGTAAAAGAGTAATTTAGTCTTGATACAAGCCACAGTTTATTGTTGTTCAAATTTTGCGTTTAAGCCCTCGTTTGGCCCCCATTTTATAGAAATGAAAATGGGTAGAATAATTTTTTTGAAAAATGAGTGATTGAAAAAGAAGTAAAATTTTCGATTTATATGTAATAGTATTTTATGAAAGATTGTGTAGTTAAAAAATAAGAGGGAAAAAAATATAATGTAATAAAATAGAATTTAACTGGAGCCAAATGGGGGCAGTGTTCTAAAAGGCGGCTCTTCGACGCGATGCTTGGCCAAAACGTCAAGCCAAGCGGCTTGACGCCTTATTTGGTGGTCAACGGAAATCGTTGACTGCTATGGCACGCCTAGGCGCAATTATGCACACATTATCATCATTTTTTTAATTTTAATTTTTAAAATTTTTTGTTGTTAAAAAATTATCAATGACTAATTTATTTATTTTGGCCTAATTTAAAATCGGAAGACATGGAGGACGAATTAGATGAAAAAGATGATATTGAATCGGAGTATGATAAAAAGTTAAATAAGATTTAAGTTCTTATATTATTTATTTACTATTTTATATTTAAATTTGAAACTTATCTTTTTGTTGAAAATTTTGAAAATAATGTATAACGTTTCTATAAATCTGTTTTAAATGTTTAACAAGTATTATTTTTAATTATTAAATAATTTTTTGACTTATTAAAAATTAAAATAATATTAAAATAAAAAAACTTTATGCCTAAGCCTCATCTAAACTAGCATTGCACATAATTTGACCTCAACGCATTTACATTTTTTTTAGAACACTAAATGGGGTTAAATTAAAATAAACATTTATAGGAAAAGTCAAGAAATGGTCAAAATGACGCAGATGAAATTTTCCAAAAATAAATAGCGAATGCGATGGCTCCTCTGAAACACATGCATTTTCTGTTAACATGCCTCAGTCCCATTGGATTTTTTTCCCAATGGGTTCACGCCAGCACAACTACAGATAGTCCCTTTCAGTCGCTCCATAATTTATTGTCATTTCACGACGCGCTTTATTCTAATTGATTGATCGTCAGGCTGTGTTTTTATATATTTATTTCTGTTGTTTATGATATGATTGGCATTAACATAACTTTAGGGGAAAATAAACAGACATTCGGTGGGTTTCTTGAACGAGAATTCATCTAATTTTTTGAGATTGATTGAATTCACGAGAGACTGATTTGAATTGGATTTTTTATACACATATTACGCAGCGTTTTTATTTTTTCATTATTTTTTTTTGTCGACATTTTTGAATTTTCTTTCTGTCTCTTCTGTGCATTTATACTTCAAATTTTGAATTTTGAGTACTGGGTTGAAGTTTTCAAAATTGAAATTAAAATTTAGGGTTCTGCACGTGTTCAAAGAATTCGTGGTCAAGGTAATATGAAATGAAAATTCCGGGATTTGTCAATTTTCTTGGTATTTAATAGAGAATGAAGGCTTGCTGCAGCTCTTGTACGCATTGATGGTGGGGTGTTGATTGAGAATTTAGAGAATTATGGTTTACTCATAGTGGATTTCAATGAATTTGGGACTTTGAGCAAGAATTTGTGGGGGTTGCATTTCGTTGGAAGATAATTGATTGATCCTGTTTGGAGTTGATTTCTGTTATTATCTAAAGTGGCATTGGGGATCGGAAATGGATATGATATCAATAAGCGAATGAAAATATCAGAATGAGAGGTAAGGGAGGGTTGTTAAGGCCATGGATGCCTCAGATAGTAATACATTCTCTGATGTAGTGAGCTTGTTAAAATCTTGGATTCCTTGGCGGTCCGAGCCAACTAATGTGTCAAGGGACTTTTGGATGCCCGACCAGAGCTGCAGGGTATGCTACGATTGTGATTCACAATTCACTTTGTTAAACCGCAGGCATCACTGTCGACTTTGCGGTAGAGTTTTCTGTGCCAAGTGTACATCAAACTGGGTTTCTGCACCATCTAGCGACCAAAATAGGCAGCAGGAAGATTGGGATAAGATCAGGGCCTGTAATTACTGCTTCAAGCAATGGGAACAGGGTTTAACATCGACTGTTAATAATGGGATCCAGGTTGACAACCTAGATCTCAGCAGTACTTCGTCATCAGTGACCAGCTTCATCAGCATCAAGTCTGGCGGAACCTGTGACAGTAGTAGCATTACCTTTGCATCAGTGCCACAGTCTGCTGGACTTACCCCACATCATTCAGCAATAATGGAAAAGACTCAAGCCCTTTCATTCGCAACGAACAATAGTCATTCTGCAGAAACAGGGGAACCGAATAGTTCTGTGAATGAATTTGAATTTTGCGTAAACAGGTTCTTCTTTCTGCATTCGTCTTGCAATAATTACTTTTGATTGCCTGTACGAAGTAGGACTGACATAGTAGCTCCATTCCATACTCAAAGTGGGTAGATTGCCTGAGAATGTTGAACCTTAATACATTACCTGCCAAGTTCCCTTGGGATTGCCCTGCAAGTCCTTGCTATCTAGTGTCTCAGTGGCTGATATCCGGTTCACTTCGTAAACAGGCATTGCCAGTGTCTAGATTGTGTTTATATGAATGTAACTATCACATCGTCTTGAGATCTCTGTCCAACTGGCTTGTAATGCCCCCAATTATGTTGCAATTGGAGCTTAGCAAAAATGTAACAAAAATTGTCTGGACTTTCTCTTAGATTCAAACCCATAGCTGATGATAGTGTTTAAGAAGCAGTTTGAACTAAAAAGACAAATACTTTAAGATAATGATGTTGGTTTCTAGTTTCCTTCAAGTCGATGTATATGTGTCTATACATGTTACATATTGCATTTATATTTATCTGACCTCTATATAATAGCTGAAACAAACCCATGCTGCATATGTAATGCATTTGAAGTTTGTGGGCTTATTTGATTTTATTCATTTGATGTTTGCATGTTTTGGTAGGTACTTTAAGATAATGATGTTGTTTTCTAGTTTCCTTCAAGTTGCTGTATATGTGTCTATACGTGTTGCATATTGCATTTATATTTATCTGACCTCTATGTAATAGCTGAAACAAACCCATGCTGCATAAGTAATGCATTTGAAGTTTGTGGGCTTATTTGATTTTATTCATTTGATGTTTGCATATTTTGGTTAAAGTATACTATGATTTTCAACATTATTATTGATTCTGGCATAAGGTGGGAAGAGTTGCAACATCCCTACTATTTTCCTGAGTGATATATTACAATAAGGCAATTGAGTCATTCTTGATTGTAAAACTATTTCCAGTGAAATGGCTGCCAAAGAAATTGGTTTGCAAAACTCTTTTCAGGAAGTCTGGAATGATGCTAGGTATTATACAGCACATAGGATGTTATTCTCCAAGTAGGAAACTCAACTATATTTGCATATGAAGAACTTATCAATTGCAATAGTTGTTTATTATATAAATATATCTTATACACAGGAGTGATGATGATGATGAAGATTTTGGAATCTATCATTTAGATAATGAAACAAGGCATTTTCCTCCAGTCGATGGCTGCTACAATCATATTCAGTTCGACGATATTGAAAGCGATTATGTATCACGTAAAGTGCATCCGGATAGAGATGCCGTTGATCCAAATGTTACTAGCAGCTCTTCATTACACAATAGTTTTGGTCCCCAGACTCCCGAAGAAGGCCAGCACATTCTTGAAAAAGAAGGTGAACATGAGATTGGTGATGAATGTGAAGCACCTTCATTCCATGGTAATGCTAACACTGTTGAAGATGTTGATACTGAACCTGTGGACTTTGAAAACAATGGACTTCTCTGGCTCCCTCCTGAACCAGAAGATGAAGAAGATGACAGGGAAACATTCTTGTTTGATGATGAGGAAGATGCTGACGCTACTGGAGAGTGGGGATGTTTACGCACTTCAAGTAGCTTTGGGAGTGGGGAGTACCAAAGTAAGAACAAATCAAATGAGAAAAAGGGTATGAAGAATGTCGTTGACGGCCATTTTAGGACTTTAGTTTCTCAGCTCTTGCAGGTGGAGAACCTTGCTTCAGGGGAGGAAGATGACAAAGATAGTTGGTTAGAAATAATTACATCATTGTCATGGGAAGCTGCTACATTATTAAAGCCAGATACAAGCAAGGGTGGGCAAATGGACCCGGGAGGATATGTGAAGGTAAAATGTTTAGCTTCTGGGCATCGCAGCGAGAGGTAATTACCACATCTACTGCTCTTCCTTATCTGTTATGCATGTCAGCCAATTACGCTTGCCTCATTCTATACATATTGAAACTTGACAGATCTTACCACTTTTGTTTCTGTTACTTTAAAACAACAAAATTAGCAGTCATCCGAGAGCTAATTGCTTAAATGAGTTAAAGTATCATCCCTAACAACTATTTTAGTCTGAGATGTCTCCCAAGCATGCCTCAACCCTGCTATTACTCCTCCAAGTGAAACAAGAATTTGAGCATATTATTTGCACTGCTAGCTTCCCTAGTACCTATTTTAGTCTGAGAACGTTTCTGATTATGGTCAAACTAGCCCCATTCATTTTTAAGAAGTTCTCTATGGAAATCTGGAAGACATTTTGGTCATCTTGACACGTTTAAAGGGCATCATGGTTTTAATCCTCGTCACTACAACAACCTAAACCTTTCCCAACTTAGGTTGGTCATTCATATCATTTTGGAAGGGATATGTTTGTTCTCTCGTAACATCCTTAGGAAGATCCAAATCAATAAAATCCTTTGCAACCACAACTTTAATCCTTAACCACTAAAAATCCTTAGGTTGGTCATTTGCAACCACAACTTTAATCCTTAGGTTGGTCATTTATATCATTTTGGAAGGGATATGTTTGTTCTCTCGTAACATCCTTAGGAAGATCCAAATCAATAAAATCCTTTGCAACCACAACTTTAATCCTTAACCACTAAAAATTAGAATATAATGTTGTTTTTTCCCCCCAATCAAATGATCAATTATTGGCTATTTTCAGATGTCTCGTGGAGCTAGATTAATATCATAATGAAAAATTGATAGGTATGTCCTCTTTCTTTTTTAATCTTTTGAACCTAGTTTATTTTGAGATATAAAAGATTAAAAAATAAAAAATAAAATTGTGCATATTCTTTTTGTTTAAGGAAGTTGAGATTTGGAAGGGCCTTTAGACAGTATGGTATTGTATTGGGTTTGGAAGTGTCTTTGGTTAGATTTATTTATTATATTTATGTGTTAACTAGGGAAGTGCCGGGTGAATGGAGGAGCACTTAAAATACAAGACAGATATTCACAATTCTGCAAATTGTTGTGCCACCCATTTAACAAGTCATACAATGATGTATTGGGAGAGAGTAATTGGGCCTAGATGTGGGACTGAAATGATCCTGGACAACCCATTTAGATATATATGTGCAAAATTATTTTGAAAGCATATGGTTTTTGTTGGTTTGAAGAAATCCTTGATAAGGTTCATAGAGATATATTATGGAAGGTATTACAGGTGAAGGATGAAAATGTTGTCAAGTCAATGTTATAGAGGTTGTCTGTAATGGGCCTGTGACCATTTAAGAACAATTCTTTAAGAAACATTTTAGCTTGATACGTCAGTAGTTGGCCTTGAGCACATGCTTGTGCTTTAGTTATGGATAAACTGACTTGAGACATGAGAATGTTCTACTTGCATATTATCTGCAGACGGTAACTTGTCCAGGATGGTGATACACTGATACTAAAGCAGTATTTAATTCTAAATATAGTCGTGAAGAGCATAGCTTGATGCAATGGTGTCTAAGATAAGAGCAAGATTGAATTGTTTATGAAACAGTACAAATAAAGGTGAACTAAATACTGTATAATTTGAACTCATAAATTTTTGCACGAACTATTGAAAATTGAAAAGCATCACTCCACGCGGATCTCACTTTTTATTTTCTTTAAAAGAGTATTGAAGTAAAATATATACAACGAACATGAGATGCTTTAATGTAATATTTGAATTCTAGAGAGCAATGAAGATCATAAATTTTTAAATTTATAAACTGCAGCAAAAAGATGTCATTATGACAAACAATGACATTGACTTCTAAGTTGCATTTATATTAAGAGCAAGATCTCTGTTTTAGGTATGACTTGTTGATGTAAAGCCTTTATCAGTGCATCTATTTCTTAATATATGTTATGTTGTTTTCTTTGTGAATTTTACTAGTCCTCCAAAATTTGCCATTTTCTTCATGTACTCTTTTAATTCTTATTCCTTATGAAGATTTTTTCCCCTTGAATAGTATGGTGGTCAAAGGAGTTGTTTGCAAAAAGAATGTGGCTCATCGCCGGATGGCATCAAAAATGGAGAAGCCTCGTTTGATGATCCTTGGAGGGGCTCTTGAATATCAGCGGGTTTCGAACCTTCTTTCAAGCGTTGATACCCTGTTGCAGCAGGTTAAGATAATTTACCCATTTTTAGTCATTAGTTGTTACTTAAACCTTTAAAGTCCTTTCTGCCACTTTATAATATTGTTAGTTAGAATTTTTTTTATATAAGCATGGGAATTTTTCCGTGTATTGTATTGTGCTGACTGATTACCCCCTTCCCAGGAAATGGATCATCTTAAGATGGCTGTTGCAAAAATAAATTCACGCCAACCTGATATTCTTCTGGTGGAGAAATCTGTTTCACGATTTGCACAAGAGTACCTTCTTGCAAAAGATATATCACTGGTTCTAAATATCAAAAGGCCACTTTTGGAGCGCATAGCCCGTTGTACAGGTGGTGACATAATTCCTTCAATTGACCACCTCTCATCCCAGAAGTTGGGATACTGTGACAAGTTCCATGTTGAGAGGTTTTTAGAAGAGCATGGAACAGCTGAGCAGGGGGGAAAGAAGCTGATGAAAACACTAATGTATTTTGAAGGTTGTCCAAAGCCACTGGGATACACAGTAAGTTATTGCAATTTAATATGGGACAGAATAATCATACTGACACTAGACATTTCTTGTTCAAATGATTTGATATGATCTAAGAAAATTATTTAGATTTTACTAACCTTTTTGACTGAGATTATAGTATATAGTGCTTTCAATTCTAAGTGGATACAGACAATTTCAAAAGCTCCCTTGTTGTTCTATTGCTGAACTTTGACTGAGAAGATTTTCAATGTTAGACCCATTTTGTGGTCTTTTGCGTCAATTGATAGAAGGCATAGTTTGTCTTAATCAACACCTTTAGGCTTATGAAGTCAATCTCTAAGCATGATGGTTTTAATATGCTATCATGATATTGTTTGTTTCAGATATTACTACGAGGAGCTAATGGGAACGAGTTGAAGAAAGTGAAGCATGTGGTACAGTATGGAGTTTTTGCAGCATATCACCTAGCTTTAGAAACATCTTTTCTTGCTGATGAAGGAGCCTCTCTGCCTGAAATACCATTAAACTCTACAATAACAGTGGCACTTCCAGATAAACCATCAAGTACTGACAGGTCAATCTCGACGATACTTGGTTTTACCGCCACTGCCAATGAAATGGGACCTCAATACGCTGGTAAACCTCAAAAGTCAAATTATGTTCATACTTCAGATCTGGGAAAGGTCACAGGTGTTGTGATTCAGAAAAAAGAAGTGCCAGAGACTACTAGCGCCCCTATTGCTACAAGCTCTCACATCACCAAATCCTTAGTCTCATCGTCTGGTGATGCGTCACAAGAAAGATGTCTATCAGATTTGACAGAATATTCAGGTAGGAGAAATTCTGTAGCAGACAACATCCTGGCTGACACACAAAATAGTCTCATGGCTAATGATTTTGGGGATTTCAATGTCAACAATAAGCAAAATGACTGTTGTCCCATGGATGCCAACTGTAGTATTTCAAATCCACAGTCTTTGCAGTTTGATGGAGAACACATTCTTCAGGAACGAACGTCTCTTAAAGAAGAGTTTCCTCCATCTCCCTCTGACCATCAAAGCATTTTAGTTTCCTTATCATCGCGGTGTGTTTGGAAGGGAACTGTCTGTGAAAGGTCCCATCTATTTCGTATTAAATACTATGGAAACTTTGACAAGCCACTGGGCCGATTTCTGCGGGATCATTTATTTGATCAAGTGCTCTCTCTCTCTCTCTCACACCCCTAACATGCACACACTTACTTTCTAAACACTGACAAATGCAATACTCGTATCTATTACATAGGAACATCATAGATTTGTACGAGACTAAGGTGTCTTTCTTTCTCGACAGAGTTATAGATGCCGCTCATGTGAGATGCCCTCGGAAGCTCATGTTCAGTGTTATACTCATCGACAAGGTACCCTTACAATTTCAGTTAAGAAACTGCCAGAAATTTTATTGCTGGGCGAAAGGGAAGGAAAGATTTGGATGTGGCACAGGTGCTTGAGGTGTCCACGTGCTAATGGCTTCCCCCCAGCAACTCGAAGAGTTCTGATGTCTGATGCTGCTTGGGGGTTGTCCTTTGGGAAGTTTTTAGAGCTAAGCTTTTCAAATCATGCAGCTGCTAGCAGGGTGGCAAGTTGTGGCCATTCTTTACATAGAGACTGTCTTCGGTTTTATGGGTATAATATCTTGTTCAGTTTTTTTTTATACATTGACTATAGTTTACATGTTTTGAATCTGTATTCATGTTTACTGACACTCGAGCAAACTCTTAACATATGTGGGCTTAATTACTTTAAGATATATCATACTTGGGTTCACTGACATGAACTACACTGGTCAATGAACCATACTTGTTCAATTGAGCTATCACATCGCGTCCTTTTGGATGGCTAACTGTTGCAGAAACTTTCTCAGAAACAGCTTGATAGATAGTTTTCTTTTTCTGGTCAATCCATTATGGTTGCCGTTCATTATGTTACTTGCAGATTTGGTAAGATGGTTGCTTGCTTTCGTTACGCATCAATTGATGTTCACTCAGTCTACCTTCCTCCCGCCAAACTTAATTTCAACCTTGAGAGTCAAGAGTGGATACAGAAAGAACTGAATGAGGTGGAAACAGTATAGTTATCAATTTCCATTTTTGTGAAATCACACAGCATATACTTAACTATCTAAATCTAATAGGTAGCTGGCCGGGCTAAGCTTTTGTTCTCTGAAGTGCAAAATGCTCTTTGCCATTTGGTAGAGAAGAAATCTGGGTCAGATTTACTTAATAGTGGCATGAAAGTACCTGAATCAAGTTGTCAGCTAGCAGATTTGGAAGGGGTGTTGCAGAAAGAGAAAGCTGAGTTTGAGGTGCAATTTCAATTTTTAATGTTGTGGCTTTCTTTTGCATACTAGATGCCATGGAGTATACATATTCAATCCTTCGCTATATTTCGATGAAGCAGAGAACCTATTTTCCTATACCCTTACTCCTGGCAGAGTTTAGGTGGAAAAGAATGATCTCTTTTGTGTTGAGTAATGAACCAATCCATGTGGTAGGCAAAGTAAAGATGTAATAATCATATTCTACCACTTATCTCCCTTTTTAAGAACCTATGCGGCCAGTAAAAAATAATGAAAATCAATTAATTCTCCCATCACACCCCCTACCCCCCAAATCTGCCAGAGTAATCAGAAATATCAATGCTGATGATCAGAAGGTACATTTTCTTCTGAATTTGCATGGTATACGTTCCCATAATATTAGCTTGATTATAATTCTTTCCCGATATAATAAATACCCTTGGTCTTTTGAACTTAGACTAGCTTAGAATAGCTCTGATCCAAAATAATCTTTTTATTTTTTAAATTTTTTTGTAGATAAAAAAGATTGAAACTCTGTTCAATCCAGTTTAGCTCATATAAATCATAAATGGTTGAGATTTGGAAAAGTTTTTGAGATGCATTGGTGCTCACCTGACAAGGAAAAATATATACTTTTGGACGCATATACAACTTCTGTTGAACCCACTTCTTACTCTAAATACTACATTCAAGCCAGAATTAGTCTGGATAACTAAAAAAAAATTTAGTTAGCAGAGTAGGCTAAAAGAATTTGAACCATACTAATTCCTACCGAATCCAAATTAAAAGTTTTCCAAGGACTGCCTTATGCAAGCAAAACTGAACTGGTAAAGAAAACTTTTGAAGTCAAACCATGTTCTAGATGGAATCTCTACTTCTAATATGCTAATAATTTGGCAGGAGGCACTCCAGAGAATTTTAAATAAAGAGGCCAAAAAGGGCCAACCAGCCATCGATATTCTTGAGCTCAATCGACTGCGAAGACAGCTTGTCTTCCAATCTTATATGTGGGACCACCGCCTCATATATGCAGCCAGTTCAGATGACAAGAACCAACAGGATGATGCCTTCAATACAGAACCCGTTGAGAAACCCCCTCCCCCTTGGGTTGATGGGAATCTTGTCGGTTCCAATGTTTCAGTTAAGACATGTGACGATTCTGATGTTGTTCTTTCAGATGCGAAACATGGAAAAAACCAAGATCTAGGGTCAAGAGATAGCTACAAGAACTATTATAAAGTTTGTGGTCAAAGAACTGATGTAGTTACTAACTTTAATCATGAAACTGAAAACCCATTAACATCCTTTGCCGGGACAAAGGCCTATGATAAATCCAACCTTCTGGAATCGGATGCTACTGTTCGTAGAGCCCTCTCTGATGAGCAATTCCCTACTGTGGCAAGTTTATCAGATACCCTTGATGCAGCTTGGACCGGTGAAAATCACACAGGGATTGGATTCCCCAAGAATAATACTATTTCTGAATTAGTTGATGCAGATTCTTCAACCTCCATTGGAGTGGGAGAAAAACTGGATGTCGGAGACCATGGAGAGGATTTGAACTGGTCTAAGGTGTCTCCTTCACCTCCTGTGTTATCTGCCAAGGGCTCTGATACTATGGAAGATAGTATGAGCTGGTTAAGTATGCCGTTTATAAGCTTCTATCGGTCATTAAACAAAAACTTTTCAGGGGCTGCTCAGAAACTGGACACACTTAGTGATTACAATCCAGTCTATATATCATCATTTAGAGAGTTGGAACTCCGAGGTGGGGCTAGCTTACTCTTGCCTGTAGGAGTTAATGATACTGTTATTTCAGTGTATGATGATGAGCCCACGAGTATTATATCTTATGCACTTGTTTCTCCTGATTATCTTTTCCAAGTGTCTGATGATCTTGAGAGACCAAAGGACACTACAAACTCAATGGTTGGTATGCAGTCCCTTGATTCTGCTAATTTCCAGTCCTTCTCTTCTATTGATGATATAACACTGGAATCCTATAAAAGTTTCGGTTCTGGAGATGAAAGCATCTTATCTCTGTCTAGTTCTCGTAGTTCCTTGCCTTTGGATCCCCTCTCATATACAAAAGCTTTGCATGCCAAGGTATCTTTTGAGGGTGAAGGACCCCTTGGGAAAGTGAAATATACAGTTACTTGTTACTATGCAAAGCGTTTTGAAGCCTTGAGGAGGATTTGCTGTCCATCTGAGGTGGATTTCATTAGGTCTCTTAGCCGGTGTAAGAAGTGGGGAGCACAAGGAGGCAAGAGCAATGTCTTTTTTGCAAAAACCATGGATGAACGATTTATTATTAAGCAAGTGACAAAGACTGAGCTGGAATCATTCATCAAGTTTGCCCCTGGGTATTTTAAATATCTTTCTGAGTCAATTGACTCTCATAGTCCAACATGCCTGGCCAAGATCCTAGGAATGTATCAGGTATTTCTAACTGAATCTAAATTTCACTAAACTAATTTCTCTTTATTCATGTTGCCACATTTGAGTATTATGCAGAGGTTTGCTACCTGTCAACAAATGTGTGGTATTAGTCTGTGCAATTTACCTCATTTGCATTTCAAGTGATAATGGTCGTGTCCTTGTAATTGTTGTATATCTCTATACTTGCACCATTTTGCATTTCAACAGTTACACTCACCGTCATTCTCTTTCTGATTTTATGTTGAAAAGGTAATGTCCAAACATCTTAAAGGAGGGAAGGAATCAAAAATGGATGTACTTGTTATGGAGAATCTTCTGTTTGGAAGAAATCTGACTCGGCTTTATGATCTCAAAGGATCCTCGAGATCTCGGTATAATCCTAATTCTAGTGGAAGTAATAAGGTTTTGCTGGATCAGAACTTGATCGAAGCAATGCCTACGTCACCCATTTTTGTTGGAAATAAAGCGAAGAGATTTTTGGAAAGAGCAGTCTGGAATGATACTGCTTTTCTTGCTGTAAGTTTCCATCTTTCTCTACTTTTTATTGACGTACCCAGTTACTACAACATTTAATGGCTTTGGTTGGATCTTAATAATTCACTTTGCAGCAAGCAGATACACTTAAAGTTGGCACAGAATATCTTCTGTGAATGCACATAAATTTTAAACTTGGGATTGAACTGATTTCGGGGAACTTTTAAGATCAAGATATTCATGTACTTGCATTAACTGTTATTTTGACATCTGATGGCAGTTAAGATATTTAATGATGGAAATTGATTTTTGGATTGGGCATGTTTGGCCTAGCTTAAATAACATGTTAGTCTGAGAAATCAATAACATTCTTGTTTCCAACTTCGATCACTAAAAAAAATTTATTTTAAGACTTAGCCTTGTTTGATTCTCATTCTTTGAAAAAAAATACATTCTTAATCAGCGTTTTGACACCATTTCAACCACACATTATTTAATAAAATAATATTACACGCAAATTCAAAACTTTCCTTATTTTTTAAACACACATTTCCCATCAATATGCTATTCAAAAATTCATTCTTATCAAAAGAATAGGGCTCAAACAAGGGCTTAAGAGTAAAAATTTTAAGCCCAGGCAAACATCTGTGAGGCATCAGTTTTATGCCATCCTACGTCTCTTTGTTCCCAAAGCCTCTCTCAACCTTACCTGCCCATCCAACTCTCTATCACGCTTAAGGCTTCATATTAACTTTTAGATTTGCCTTTCATCTGTACTTACAATGGTTGAATTAACACCTGCAGTCAATAGATGTAATGGATTATTCGCTACTGGTTGGGGTCGATGAAGAGAAGAATGAACTTGTTCTTGGGATTATTGACTTCATGAGACAGTATACGTGGGACAAGCACCTCGAGACATGGGTGAAGGCATCGGGCATCCTTGGTGGACCCAAAGATGCTTCACCGACAGTAATTTCCCCAAAGCAGTACAAAAAGAGGTTCAGGAAAGCGATGACTGCCTATTTTCTGATGGTTCCAGATCAATGGTCACCTCCCACAGTTGCTCCTGGCAAGTCTCAGACGGATCTATGTGAAGAGAATGCATACTCTGCTGAGTAATTCCCTCCTAGGTTATCAATGTTTTTGCAATTCTTTTTAATTTTTCACTCAAATTCTATTGGAAGAAGCCTTATCCTTTTGGATTCTCTTTTCAATGAGTATTCATATAGTCAGAAGATGGTTCCAGATCAATGGTCACCTCCCACAGTAGCTCCTAGCAAGTCTCAGACGGATCTATGTGAAGAGAATGCATACTCTGCTGAGTAATTCCCTCCTAGGTTATCAATGTTTTTGCAATTCTTTTTAATTTTTCACTCAAATTCTATTGGAAGAAGCCTTATCCTTTTGGATTCTCTTTTCAATGAGTATTCATATGGTCAGAAGATAGAAAACAATGCTGTTATTGCCATTGAAATTAAAATTATACCTACCCAGAAAGATTTTGTACAATATATATATATATATTTTCACCTGTAATTCAAGTTGTACATGAACTGCAATATATTAGTGCAGTTTTAGCGTAATGTATAACCTTCCAAAAAAAAATTCTATTTTCTATTCTTTTTTATATTTTCTTATCAGATTGATGGAACATTTTTTTCTCCACTCACTTAAATGATTAATAGCTTTCGTAAAATGATGGACTAGGGAATGATGTGGTCATGAATGCGTACACCTGCTGCAGTTTGAGCTCTATCAGTCCAGAACTATCCGTAGATTTTGGGAATTTGAGCTATCAGTCTTTACTTTTCAATCACACGTTCTCTAGAAGCATTAGGTTATAGAATTGTTTCTCTCAAAGTTCAAGCAGATACAATCTGAAGTGTTGCTGTTTGAACTTTGAAAGTGAATGATTTTAAAAATAAAAATCTTGTTATATACATATCAGTGCAAGAGTAAGACAGATACAATCACACCTACATACGTATAGTTATTAACTTAATTACTTTATTTAATATTATTTGTAAAACACGTTTGTTTGTCTTGTTCAGCACCTACTCGATCCCATCCCAACACCTCTGAAGAAGCTCAATAATCTCAATGTCTCGGTAATTAAACATCACACATTCACCACTCAATCATGTTGTATGAGCACTACAAGCATGGCATAATTAGACAAAAACAATTGTTGATTGTGTGTTTTTATTTTTAAGTTTGTTCGTACCAAAATGCTTTTATTAATTGTTTCATAACAAAAAGGATTGTACAGTATTAAATATGAAAATAAAATAAATGATCGTGTGTATGACTGTTGAGTATCTAGCACTACTGTGTACCAAATTTATTTGGACAAAAATTAACTAAGATCTAAGGATACGCTTAGATTTCATTGAAATTTTATAATTCTATTGGCACTCTTGTTAAGTTGGAATCGGAATAAACAACAACAACAACAAAAAAAAATAAAAAATGAAGAAGAGAAATTTGTCATTAGTACTTAATATAGTAATATTTGTACCTTGAATTACAAGTAAACCTTGATAATTGCTGCTGAAAACGAGGTCCCTCATCAAATCCTTCACATGGTATATCTCCGTTTTCATCTCTATAACAAACAATACCTGCTGACAGATCTTCAAAAACCTAGCAAAATAATTCATCAAAAAGAAAAATGATTAAACTCGATATATTCATTTATATTTGTGTGACTTGAACTAAAAACATTGAAAACTGCTTTAGAAAAACCTTATTCTTGGGAAGAGATCTGATCTGAAGAGGGTTGCCATTAATTGAGATTTGATTATGAGCCCTCATCACCAGTAGTCTATTGGCTGCAGGCCGTCTGATTGGAATTGGAGCTGTAAATGAGTAACTTATAGCCATTGATCCAATGATGTAAAGAAAATGGATTGCAAGCAAATGGTTGTTCTTTCTATGTTGTGGGACTTCAGAAGGAATATAAGCAGGAATAGAAACTTTATAACAATTCTGATTGATAATTGATTTGGCTGTACATTTATAATTAAGTAGTTAATTAGAATATTGATGTCTTGTCACCATGTTGCATTATATATATCTCTGTGTGTGTGTGTTTGGTGGGGTCCTTGGAGCTTATCTTCAACCTGTTGATATTGGTGAAAAATGAATCGTATCAGATGCCATTATTTTGTAGAATTAATCTATTTGTACGAAGTTTGTTTACAAATAAAGTGTTGGCAAGATCTAAGCCATTGATTTCCATTTATTTCTAAAATTATTTTTGAAATGATTGACCTAAATGTTGTCAACACATAGTTTATAAACCAAATCTATCAACCTATTTTGTACGATTAGCATGATTCTTATTTTGTATTTGATTAAGCAGATATCTGGTGGGTTTATAATACATTCTCCTACTCTCTATCACTCCCACACATATTGTGCATGAGTTAGATTTACGATTTTCGACCCCAATTCTTCACGACATTTACCATCTCATTCGTGTTTTCATGTTCACAATATGTACTCAAAAAGATCAATTTGCTTATAAATCATGATTTTAAAACATATACAGAGCATAAAGATTTTAAACTTACGTGATAGTGGAATGTAGTGAAGAAGAGATAATCAATTGTACCGTTGGTTGAACGAGAAAGAATAAAAATTATTTCTCGAAACATAAGCAAAATGAAGTTTCCTTATATACTGCGATTTTAGAAACTATACTTTACAATTTACATAATGCAAATGAAGGATGAGCGTTGTATGCATACGGTGACAGTTTTGCAACGATATGAAAGTGTACGGGTAGATTTCAAGGACCAATCTGCATCAACTGGAAACTTCAGAGACCTAAATGCAACAGTTAGAAAGCTAAGGGACTATTTTGCTGAATGTTGAAACTTCAGGATAAATTTTACACATCAAAGAAACTTCAGAGGCAAATTTGCAAGTCGTAAAAATGCAAGAGCAAATGTGCATGTTGCTGAACATTCAGCTTTGATAAGGGGTTGTTTGGCAATTGGGACGAAGTCTCCATTAAACAAGGCATCGTCAATGACTTCAAGAGCTATCGAGCCAAAGTTGCACTCAGTTTTTGTGCTACCAACATTTTAGTTGTCCTAAAAAAGCAACAGTCAAGACAACCACATCATCTGTTAAACAAGACAATAGGGTTAGAGACGAAGACAAGAGTTAAAAAAAAAAAAAAGTACTTTTATTATAAATATTATGCAAAATCTAATATGTAGGATGTAAAGTTATGAAATACAGCGCATGAAGTGTAATTGTATTTGATGTATTTTTTATATTTTTAATACATTTCACTTGAGCCACGTGGGCTATTTAAATGATCATCGATATAGTGCTTGTTCGGTAGAGATTTTGTTAATTGATTTTTTGACCATTAGAGATAAAGTGAATTCTATCTGTAAGAGAAGAATTCAAAAATGACAGTTGAAATAGTGAAATAACGGTAAAAAAATTGATGTTAATTGGATTAAAATATGAGGAAATTACAACATTACAGGTATTTAAAGATGATAATTCTAAAATCAAATATTAAGTTTATTTGAGCATAAATCAGGTATTAATAAAACCCAAAATTGAAATCCCTTTCCTCACGCCTCTCACTCCACACACACACTCTCTCTCTCTAAGAATTGTAGTCTCTTTCCTTTGTAGTCTCTGTGGTCTCATCTCTCACTCGCACTTTCTCTCTTTCGTCTCTCACTCTTCTATTCTTGCAACTCATCATCGGAGCTCCGATGAAAGGTCGAGCACAACAGCGCTCAAATCGAGGTAGCCATCTACAGGTTAGGGTATGGGATTATTTAGATCGACGTTCAGATCACTGTCACCGCTTATAGATGCTCACCTTGAATCGAGGTGATTGGTTACGGATACGGGGTTATTCTGGGTTTTTTTTTCCTTCTAGTTATTGTTGGTGTTATGAAAACGATGGTGGTGGATGTGGTTTTTGGTAGTTTGTGGGTGATGATGGCGGCGGTCATTCATGTGTTAATAGAAGCAGTAGTTTGTTTGGTAGTGTTGCAGGGGATAGTGGTTTTGTTGTTGCAGGCGATGTTCTTGGTTTTGGGGACATGGGATGAGGTGCTCGAAGTGGTGGTTGTGAAGGTTTGGTGACAATTTTGTAGTGGTTTTTGTGATGTTTTGTCGCTGGTAATTTTCTTAGTTGTTGGGTTGCTAGTGGTGATGGTGGTAGTGTGTTTGTGGTGATTGTGGTGGAATGTTAGCGGTGGATCGATGTCCACTGGTGGTGATGACAAAGGTGTGTAAGTCACAATCTGAGTTTTTGTGACCGAATATCTTGAACATGTGACCTATCAAAGTACACGGGTCATATGTCAAAATGCTTAGGTTAGGGTCACAGGTACAACAAATTTGGTCACGAGCTATTGGATTAAGACACAGATTGAAGAGATTTGATCATCTGCCATTGGATCAAGTCAAGGTCACATATAAAAGGTCACGTGTCAAAGTGTATACTTCACTGGTGATGGATTCAAGAGATTTGTTCATAGGCGGTTGAATCAGGTTGTAGGTCACAGATCAAGTACATAAGTCACAGGTCACATGTTCAAGAGATTTGGTCACAAACCATTGGCTTAGGATGCAGATCGAAGAGATTTGTTCACCTACCATTGGATCAAGTCAAGAGTGTTTACTTCACGGGTAACAGATTCAAGAGATTTGGCCACAAATCCAAGAAATTTGTTCACAGGCTGTTGAATCAAGTGGCAGGTCACATATCAAGTGCACAGGTCACACATTCAAGAGATTTGGTCACAGGTCATTGGCTTAGGTCACAAATCACAGATCCAAAAAATTTAGTCACAAGCTATTGGATCATATTATAGGTCACACGTCAAAGTAAACACGTCACAAATTCAAGAATCTAGTCGAATGCTATTGCTTTCTCCAACCTTAGTTATCCAAACTGGTCACAAATTCAAATAATCAAATATCGGCGTTGAGAATTCAAATTATTTGCTCAATTAACTGCTCTATAAATTATATCAGGAGTTATTTTTCAATTTTCAATAAAAAAGTTTTAGATTATATTATTACTGCTCGGTCTCAGCACCAAAGAATTGATCATCACTCAGTGACAAATTAAGAACGATCAGTTTGCCGTTGAAGAAGTCATCGACGAGGTGGAGGTTGGAGGGATGTTGGTGGCGAGTGGATGCCAGTGAGTGGGATGAGGGCGGTTAAGGTGGGTATGCATTTATTAATTTAATTTGATAATATTATTATTTAAAACTAAAAAAAATGAAAATAAAAACCTGACTTTTGCATTTTGAAACTTAGTCTCTGAGATTTGATTTGGTGTATACTTAATAGCTGTGATATGATTTTTTCCCTTAAAATATCTACCAAACAAACTCATATATTGGGTTTGGTCCATTCTTGAGTTTGTTAATGGGTGTCTATTATGACAAAAGAGACCCATTATGTCTTGATGGGCCTGATTCCACCAAGCGCATCCCTTCAGTTAGGTACTATCGTTCCCAATATCTTCTCATGTTTTTGCTGCATCATTTGTATGTCCTGCTAGACACAGATTGTACTTACTTATAAGTTATTTTTTACAAAAAAAAATAAAAAAATACACACTCTTCTAATCAAACAAAACACTTTCATTAACTTGCTCAAACATATTCAATTGAAGCTCCTTAGTCTCGGAAATCGCTTTTGATTTTTCAAAAATCCTGCCAAACAAGGTCTTAATATATGATAGATGTATCCGTATCTTTTATTTAATCATTTACTTGCATTTTTGAAATATATTAACGATTTCGTGAAATTGTGCCACGAAAGCTAAAGTAAATTAAATTATAAGGACTTCATAAGCATAATTATCAAGACATGTTTTAGTCACACCACCAAACAATTTACAAATCACTACTGCAGGAGGCAGTAACTATCCACGAGCCATTGATATTAAGTATTAAGCGCGTTATACATGCTCACCATTTTATTATAGTTGCAATTTTGGTGTCTTCGATCGTTCTAATTTTTTTATTCAGAAACACTTCTACATGAGTTTCACGAGATAATATACGCGCGCGTGTGTGTGATGAGATGATTTAAACTAAAATCAAGAAGACATATAAAATATACTAAGATCAAGAGTTCAAGTCCAGCATGCGAATGATGAAACAAATTCGAGAATATATAAAATTTGTTGTTTCTCCAAAACAAGGTTCATTACGAATATTTAAAGTCGAAGCTATATTTTTCGAGCATCAACATATAAACTGAGAGAATAAGAGTGAAGAGGTGTTTGGAATATTAGAAGACAAAATTAGGACATGCTTGCAAATAAGACGTTTTAAATAACTGAGATAATGTAAATCAACGGGAGATTTTTCTTTTTGACCTATCGCTATTCCTTTTTGTTGAAAGGTTTATATTATCCTTAATGAAAAGATTCTTTATATATTGCAACATATATCCTAATCTTTTAAACATTTTATCTTGTATTTATTCTATTTTGAATATTTAAATATAATTTCATTCTATGATCTAATAAATTGAGATAATCTGTAACATATTGTTCACATTTATTATTTAATATATTATATTCTTCAGAAGATGCATCCATACTCTCTAATTGAGAATACATATTTTTTATTACTTCTAACAGTCTTTCTAATAAATTATTCAATCCTTTAATTGTATATCCTGACATTCATTCAAATGATCATCAAATCATGCTATTAATCCTTACGATTCTTCAAGATCTTACAAAGATTCATTCTAATTTTAACAAAAGTTTAATAGTTTTACCTTAGGTTTGATCTGGGCTTGTATTATTAGAATCGAGTGGCCTTCGAGCTCTGAATCTGTAAACTGCTTCCTTCAACGGCCTCGTGTCTTCATGGAATTGTTACTATTTCAGCTACTTGCTCTTACTGTATCAACTTCTAAAGAATAAAATCTCAAACTTCTGTTAAAGAAAAACTTTCTTTTTGCTAAAATAAGAAGAAAACTTTTTATCGGATCT